CCCCCCTCTTCTTAAATTTCCGATGCAGCAAGAGGAAGGCGCGAAAATGCAACGGGGTGGCACGAACGATCTGGCAAAGCGCGAAATGCGAAGTGCGTCGACATCTAAAACTTGCAAGAGATTCAAATTCTTTGACTGTGTTGAGTTTATGTGCCAAAGGGCATCTGAATATTTCTTTCCTCGACTTCGGAGACGAGAATCGTATCGATAGAGAAGGGGGATCCCCTTCCACCTTGTGTTTTTTATGATTTTATGAGTTGGACGTTAAAGTCCGTAGCAGATGCCAAAGTCAAACCCCTTGACCTGTTAACAGGCCTCCAATGATGGAACCCAGCTGCTACAAAGGGTCTTGGCCAAACTACCACTCATCCCCGCAGGTTGCTGAAGAGGGTAGGTCCCGCAACCGTCTTAGCGATTGTCTAGCGTCGAGAGGTTAGTCCCTCAAGCTGCGTGTCAGCCGACACTTGAGTGTCGAACAGGACCCTCGAAACCATCGAGGGCCACGCGAGTATGGGCAGTACATAGTACGTCATCACCACGACTACTTGCGTTCTCATGCATGGCTAGTCGTTATGAGGAAGGCTGCATCCGCACGACATTTGTACGCTGTGCAGCATTGGACAACGAAAAGATTTCCTTGACATTTGGTTATGGGTCTGACACCGTACGGACTACACGAGTCTCGGTTTTGTTAGTATCTCAATTCTTTGAATTTTAGGCGATGTGTGACGTGTGGCAGGATTGACGTGTCCTAGCAGCCCCCCCCCCTCGGCAACACAGTGCCCAGATCCGCGCACGGGTCCGATAATGACGTGGGACCGCGCGTATCCCCAATGTCAAACTGCATGATAAACGCTCATCGGTTGGGCGTCATCTACGACTGTAACATGAAGGCGTGGTTTAGGCAGGTGCAAGGAACGGCCCGACGATCGTGGATCCTCGAAATGCGCCGAGATCCGAAGTTGTACGGTAACAGATTCAACGACAAACTGACATTCCTCGGTTGCAATCAAATGACTGTCGGACAAATGTCATCACAAATGGAAGGCCATGAGTGGTCGCGGATGAAAAAAAACATAGTTGAATGACCCTCAAGCAACCCATATCAACTCTGATAAACTCCACCACCAATGCTAGGATGTGCGCTGGTGCCGCAAACCTCGACAGTCTGCGCGGCTTCGAAACTCGTGTTCTTCGCAGGCGAAGTACACGAATGACCACAACAGCATCTCGAACGGTTACATGTCGACGAGTTTGCGGCAGAAGAGATAGTTCAAGGTCGAGCTTACCATCACCGGCAACCCAGGTCTGGTTGTGAAAATGAAAATCATGGTTTCAGGTCCCACAAGTGCCCCCCTGTAAAACCCGATTAACTCCAGCGACAAGGCGAGGTCGTGTGCTGGAAATGCTCCTTATGCATCCCCTAGGAACCCCCATTCTGTTACTCCAGCGACAAGGCGGCAGTACAGAAAACGACTAGAGCTCCGAGTGCAGTTATGCATTCCCCACGAACCCTCATTCTGTAAATTGATAACGCACACACATGCGCTGACAGTCTCTACTTCCGCAGTCCTCGCTACGGTCGTGCGTCAACCACGACAAATACATGGTGGATCTCCCGAATGGCCACAACAAGCACGATCCTCGAAGTTCGCCGGGATCCGAACTTGTCAGCGATATGTGTCCCGGGATCGCGAACAGTGCAGTGTCGGGAGGTCATTCAACAATCGTGCACGATAAAAAAAGAACAAGGTTATAGGCTCCTTCAACAACCCACACAAAACCCGATTCAGCCACCCCCTAAACGACATGCTATCCTGCGATTTTCCCCGACTTGGCAGAAGGATTTGTGTTGTTTCCCACTCCAGTTGCACACCTTAGAGGACTAAGAAGAACATGGCCGTCGAGCCCTAATCAGACCCTCACCAGACCCGACGACCGTTTTCTTATTTTTTGGTAGTCGTCAGCAACGACCGTCAGACCGTGATGTTGCAGGAATGTGTTTTCACGAAGCGACGTCTCCACGAAAAATGGGGTAACCGTTGGTGACTGGGGCTCGCCGGGCTCGGAGTGGAAATTTTTTGTGGCTCAACAGAAACGTTGTTGGCAATGACATCCACATTTGATGTTGTTGAATTAGGGTCTTGCGAGGCGATCGATTCGGTGACACAAATCACTTTAAGTCCGCCCCGATCCGAACTTTATGAAATCGGGGTTCGCGGCAATTGAGGCTAACTACTTGTGCAGAAAGCGAGCAGTCGTGCCACCGGCGGACGGTTTCATCGCGTGCATATCCTGCCAGACCTGGAGAACAGCGGGGTTGTGGCGCTGAGCCGACAACCGTGGATGTGGAAGTTCGGATGCCGGCGAACTTCGGTTGAGACGGGAGGAAGGAGAGGATTGGCGGGCGGGGTTTAGAGGGGTCGAGGACGACCGATTTCTTTTTCGCTGCGAGTCGCCAACAACGACTGTCAGACCCTGATGTTGTAGGAATGTAATTTTTCCAAAGCGACGTCTCCGCGGGGCAACCGTCAATGACTGGGGCTCATAGGGTTAAAGTGGAAAATCTACGAGGCTCGTCATAAATGTTGTTGGCAATGACAACACATTTGATGTTTCCGAATCAGGGTCTTAGGAGTAGATGGATTTGCAAGTACACATTACTTAAACTCCGTTGGGATCCGAACTTTGTGAAACCATGCTTCTCGGTAATTGAGGTTAACTGCAAGTTCAGAAAGCGAGCGTCATGCCACCAGCGGGGAGGTTGCAACCCGCAAACCGTCCGAAACCCGAGTGGCAAGAAACCTGTATCCCGACTTGACTGCTTTTAGCGCCGTTTGTGTATTGTGCGCGTTTCAAACCAGTGGCCAAATCGCAAGTCCGTCGGGATCCGAACTTCATGTTCACGACCTCGACCTTCACAATTCAACATGAAGGGGTTGCAGTCATGCTAGTCCGCCGGCATCCGAACTTCATGTGCTCATGAGAAAGCACACGTGCAAGATCGGATCCCGGCGGACCACGACAATCGAATTCGGGACAGTTGCTCGTGAAAAGGCACACGTGTCGCACTCGCGAT